CCCCAAAACCCCAAAACCCCAAAACCCCGAAATTATCTCTAACAATTGAGTTAGTTTAAAAATGAACACTTGGAGCAATACACATTTTTACTACAGACTAAGACCTAAAATACATCTAGACATCGTATACTAACCTCTAAACTCAATTTCCCAAACATCATGAAGCCAATGGCAATCATGACTTAATGAGCATCTTCTATTCAATCAGGCTCAAACTTTTGCAAAGATTGATGACAATGTGATTTCCTGATAAAATCTAATAAGTGTAATAAGTCTCTTTATCATCATCACTTTCAAATGGTCCTGGAATAAAATTGATGACTTTGACCTCTGTGAATCCTTCACTTTGAGTTGGAACCACACAATTTTTAAAGAAGACATTGATGATCAAACGTGGAGTCTTTTTTGATAGATGATTTCTGTTTGGATTTATACTTCTTTGCTCATTGTTATGCATGCAAATGTTTTTATCTGTGTTAAAATAGAATGCTCTACAAGGAACTTTAAATTCTTCAGCAATCGAAATATAATCTGATCTTGCTTCAATCTTCGGGTTTGTATTATCAATGACACAGCTTTTACCTTCCTTTAAAATTTTCCTGGCTGCCTCAATACACTTTTGTTTTGTCTTGAGAATTTCATTATTGACTCGAACATAATCTTTTAAGTAATTTTTCCAAAAAGTTGATTTCCCAGACCCAGGAGCTCCAACAAAAACAACAACTTCCTGTGCTTCACTAGTGTATTTTTCTTCCTCTTCAGTAGGTGATTGTCCTTCCAAAGATTTTAAAGTGTTGGTATCAAATTCAAGAGGAGGAAGTATCTCCTCCAATTCTTGAAAGTACATCTCTGGAGTATAGAATTGAACTCCAAGATTCATTGCAAACTGTCTGTCACAATAACTGAAATCTTTATTTTTATCTTTTCTCTTTGGCCTTCCAGCAGAGTCTCCACAATAGAATGATTGGGATTTATCAGGCTCGATGCCATCATTGCAATTACTCACAAAGTATTTCCACATTCCAATGCTTGGCTTGTGGTTAGCATCCTTAGAAGTAGCTCAAATAATTTGGAATGGGACCTTTAGACTTTCATAAATTTGAGTAAACTTTTGTTGAAGGTCAATGGGATCGATTCTACCCATTTCAACTCCTGCTTTGTTACTAAAAATTACAATCTTAAATCCATTCTCATGGATTTCTGATAGTTTCTTTGGCACATTCTCATCCCACCAGACCCAATCACTTGAGTCTTTTGCAAGCATTAAACCAGACTTTGTAGTAATAAGAGTGGAGTCCATATCAAACCCTGCAACTTTATCACTAACTTTAGCTCCGAAATCAGCAAAAAGAATAGTCCCTATCATTGACTTATCATCCAAAGCTTACCTTCATGCTTCCAAGTCTTTAGATATTTCTGTTCATCTATCATCTTGGGTTCTTCCTCCTTATCAGGAACTGTCTGGAGTGTTTCTGGCTCACAAAGATGCTGATCTTCTTTATCATTTGTTTTAGATTCAGTCTATTTTTTAGAGCATATCTTACTTTTTCAATTTTAATTCTATTGGTAGGGGTTTTGGGGTTTTGGGGTTTTGGGGTTTTGGGG